GATGGGTAGGCTAACTTGGAAACCCTGAGGCAGACCATGGATGGATGGATGGATGAATAGATACATTTGTACTAAGTATACATACATTATATCATTCTATTGATTTGTAAAAAGTTCCCGGTCTGCCTGGCTGTAATGAGATTTTTGAACTTTGCGTGGCGATCAATGAGAGGAATATTATTGGCCTGGAGAATTGATATACCTGCTCTCGGTGGCTTGTTCTGCTCCCAGGCCAACCCGGCCCCCCAGGTGTACGATTCCAGCAGACACTTAACCTTTTTTACAGTGTCATCAGGCTAAAAGGAATCTAATAGTGACACAGGACTTGTGCTCAGCACTCTGCCACTATTGCTTTCCTGTCACAAATAATTTATAGCCTTCTATTTCCATCCCGGAGCCCTGCACCCCAGCCCTACCTCCCGCTTTCCCCCAGCTCCCGGGAATCAATAAACTCACACAGTCATAGTGGGACTTCAGGGTGCAAGGAGATGGACAGAGGGACAAAGAGGGAGAAAGAGGAGCCGAGACAGAGATGAAGAGATGGAGAAAGACAGAGAAGGGTTAAGTGGGAGTCCGACTTCCCAGTGAAGGTTGAGCTGTCTCCTCACCAATGTAACAGGCTTGCTGGGAGAGCACCTGAGACTGTTTTGATCTTCAAGGTGGGAGGAAGTGGAGGCCTCCTGGGAGTTTCACCAGAGAGGAAGTGACCTCACTGTCTGCTTCATCATCTGAAGCGCTGACATCACCTGAGTCCTCTGTGGGTCCATCCCAGGGCACTTGGGCGGAACTCAGTCCAGGCGCAGCAACCTCTTGGGATCAGCCCGTGTCTTCTCCATGTCTCCCCAGGGAGTACCTGCATTGATCCAGTTGGGGCATATTAAGAAGGGAGGCCTCCGGCCTGCACCTGGCTTGGCCCCTAAATTGAAAGCAGCTAGGCATAGGGGTCACCCACAGGGATAATAACACAAGTGAACATTATTATTACAGCTAGCATTTATCGAACCGGCCATCATTCTAATCATTTTACATGAATTATCCTACTTAATCCTTGCCGCAGCCCTGCGAAGCCCATAGTAGTATTATCTCATTTCACAGATAAAGGAGTAAGAAAAGTCCAAGGCTTCCCAAAAAGAGTTAAACAGAGCTGGGGTTCTGACTCTGGTAGACTGAGCCTGGAGCCCATATCCCAAACCCCTCACGAGTCCAGGGGTGGCGGTACACACCTGTATTACTACCACCCAGCACCTGGGAGGCAGGAGGACCAACTCAGGCATTTCTGGGTTATATAGTGAGACCCTGTTACAAAACAACAAACAAACAAAGACAGAACAAACCAAGGCCTCAAGAGCTGGCTCAATGGCTAAGAGCATTGGCTGAGTTTGTAAAGAACCCAGGCTTGCTTCCCAGCACTCATGTCGTGGCTCACAACTGTCCGCAACTCCAGTTCCAGGGCTCCAATTCTCTCTTCTGTCCTCCATGGGTACCAGGCATGTGGATAGTATTTATACACACATACAGGCAAATAGTTGTAAAATAAAAATGAAAACATCTTTTAAAAAAAGCAAAACCAAGATCTGAATTCCTTTAGCTATACGTGCACCCTTGGGAGACATTGCGATCCCAGCAGTCCCTTTGTTGGGAGCAAGGTAAAGCACCGAGTAGGTGGGCTCTTGCCGAAATGAAGGAGGAAGAGCATCCTGTGTGGGAAAGTCCGCTCGGGTGGGACAGGGAGCAGTGCCCTCTCTTTCACGTTGAGCCCAGGATGTAGGAGGAATATAAATAACCATAGAGTTTTCAGAACCCCAGTTCTTAAATTCCGTATGATCAGCTCTGGTGCCTGGCAGGTGCCCACTGCCTGGGGTCATGGATGGGCACCAAGAGCCTTAGTAACTCATAGCAGGCACCCTGCCCAGCTTCTTTCCCATGCACCACCAAGCTGCTGTTAGGACATAGTGATTTTCCATCACTTGCTGCCTCAGCTAAATCTGTATCAGTGCCTCAGGGGTCAGAGGCTCTGGTAATAAAGACAGGAACTGCACCAGCAGGTCCAGTTATCTGTGTGCCCTGGCCCCAGCCCTGGAACTCCTTAAACCAGAGCCTGTCAGTCTTTAAGCGGGGCCACTGCAGGTTCACCAGACTCTGGAAGCTTGTGTAGAAACAGCTGCCTGGGAGAAGTCTTACCTTCTACATTTTCGTAAAGGTGGGGTCGTATTGCTCTCAGTGACTCAAAACCTCTCTATCTTCTGACTGCTAAGGGTACAAAGCTGTAGAAGTTCCTTCCTGACATTCTGGTTGTCTTTGTCTAACTCTGCCCTGGTCCTTCACTCCAGTCCCCCACTATTCTGCTCTGCATCCTCCATCTATTGTCTCCCTGGCAACCTCACCCTCTTCCTCTTCTCTGGCGCTCCTCTTTCCTGCCCTGAATCACCCTTCCTACCCTCTGTGGTTACTGGGTCAACCTCTAACTTCCACACCACCATCATCTTTTAGAAGTCCCCTCTCTTCCCTGCACCTCTTCTGCGAGGCTCCTGCTCCAGCTGCTTCTAATTAGTGATTAGAAGGCACTAATGGCCGCCGTTGGCACTGTAGTCTCCCTCCATCTACTGAGGTCAGGCTACCCTGCTCTGTATTGGTGCTGCCGGTGGCCACAACTGCAACCTCCCATATTGTTCCATGTCCCTTTCCAGTAGACTCCTTTCTGCGCCAGTCCATGCCTGGGCTTGCCCACCTCACACATCCAGAGCCTACAGCACACTTCCTTCCCATGCCATTCACCTTCCTGCATGCCTGTTCTCCACAATGATCCATGCCACACGGCTTCCACTATCCAGGAGTGGTTTAGAGCCAGGCTTGACTCCAGTTAGTCATCAAACCCTGACCAGTCTCCCTTATTTCTTTTCCTTCATACTTTTAAAGGTTCTCACCTTTCTTTCTTCCTTTCTTTTGTTCCTTTCTTTTTCTTTCTTTCTTTCTTTCTTTCTTCCTTTCTTTCTTTCTGCCCCCTCGTTAGTACCTCACGCGGACATATTAGCTTCCTGAGATCAATCACTTTGACCACATCCCCTCTAGTTTGAGCATTGCTCATGGCTCCAGACCTCTAAGGCTTGACTCTTACATGATGACAGAAGGATAGTAAAGTAGCAGAAGATGCAAGCTCCGCTCTAACTGGCAGTATGGTCCGAAAGAAACCTTAATCATTAACCGTCGTCGGCTTTGGTTTTCTATCTGCAAAGTGAAGGCAATGGTACTTATTTCTGAAGTTGTGCAAATGAACAGAAGTACATATGGGGTCATATAGGTTATATATAATATTGATGTACCCATTTTAATGAGTGGAAAAGAGCTGTTTCTATCATCAGGTGCAAGCTTTCAGCCCCGTTTCCTCTCCTCCTGCTCACACCTCTGCTACTTCTGACTATAGGTGCAGGCACCAGCCCAGCCTTGTGTTCTGCCTGGGCTTCCTCACTAGTCTCCCCACCCCCAGCACCTGTGTATAACGTGCGCTATTCTCTTGTTCGTCTTAAAACCAGGTTCATATTTTCCCCCCTGGGGAAAGGGACCTTGGAGATGCTGTGTCACTGTGAGCCCGTTATTGTTCACTTGGAGACACTGAGGCATAAAGACACTAAGTTCTAAATGTGAGGCTGTGTGGCTTCTTAGTGACAGGGACCAAACATTGGCTCTGTTGTACAGCCTGGTGCACTTTCTACTGTTTCCTGTGTCCCTCCTGCAATTGGCTTAGCTCTGCTTTGGGTCTGTGCCAGGCTCCACATCCTCATTCACTTCTCCTCCCTGGTCCCTACCTTCAAGGGATGCTTCTCCTTCTAGACCTGGTGGCATGGCCTTGGGCTACCTGGCAGTCTTTAAATACGAATCCCCTCCCCCAACTTTCCAGCACTGGGAGAAAGTGTCCCAACTATGTGCCTGTAAGTGATTAGAAAAAGCTCAAATTGAGCTGAGGGTGGTGGTGGTGCACACTTTTAATCCCAGTACTCAGGAGGCAGAGGCAGGGGTAATCTCTGTGAGAGAGTTGGAGGCCAGCCTGATGTACAGAACAAGTTCCAGGACAGCCAGAGAAACCCTGTCTCAAAAAGAAAGAGAGAGAGAGAGAGAGAGAGAGAGAGAGAGAGAGAGAGAGAGAGAGAGAGAAAGAGAAAAAGCTAAAGTTGAAAGATTCCCAGCTTGCTGGGGTGGTGGATGTGAACTTGGATCTGTAGGAAGGAGCAACGCTGAGTTGGTTAGGGTACAGGGAGAAGCAAATTGCCCAGTCCCTGGGCTAGGTCTCTCGCATTATGGGGCTCTTGTGTTTTCCTGGACTCCTGTGAGGTGGGCTTCTCCCTCCTGAGAGGGTTTCATTTGTTCCTTTATTTCCCGGGGGTGCACAAAGCATGGTGCTAGCTCTTCAACCAGTCTGGTAAAGAAACTCTGACTCAAGGAAGACCATAGAAAGGAAAGGGAGGCTGTAAGCCAGCCAGATGAGGAGCCAGTTGTGAGGGGCCTGATGCCTGGCAGAGACTAGATGTTGTGGGATCATGGGTGACCAGCTCTGCGTTTCTGCCTTCTCTCCCATCTTCAATACATGAAGAAGCTCCTTCCCTAATTTTGGTCCTAGTTGGAAAGCCAGTCAAAATGACTTCCAGACCCAGCTGTTCCTGGTACTAGGGGCTGCATAAATGTGTCTGAGGAGGGAAGGTGGACCACTAGCCACCAGGGCGGTCCTCACCCCTCAGAAACGGAAAAGATGCTGTGGTCCACTTGACTGAGCCTTAATTCTTGCTGCCCAAACTCAAGCTGCAGCTCAGCTGGTGTTCAGGGCAGGACAGCATGCAGGCCACCTCTGCCAGGAGCTGTGCTAAGTGAACTGCGGAATAGACAGGAAGGAAAGCTCATGCCTTGCAGCGGTGGGTGAAGCCTGCGCTGGGCTCAGCAGGGCCCCTCTGCCAGGCAGGGCGAGCCTGGACCTGGCCTGTGACCTGTAATGATGTTGTGATGCTTTGCAGGATCATTCGGACCAAAGTTCAGCAGCCTTTCCACCCAACACCGGATGGCGCAGGGACAGGAGTGACTGCCCCTGGCCACACCATCGGTAAGAGGGCTCAGGAAAGAGGGAAACCAACTTAGAAAACACAACTCAGCTCTGGGAACTGTCCACTCCAGGGAGATCTATGGTTCTGTGATCCCCAATCACTCCTTTCCCTCCTAGAGTACTGATGCCAGCTCAGTGCCTCCCACATCCTCCTCAGTCTGTCTTCTCACCTCCTCTCCCTCTCCGCTCCTTACTCCTGCCCCTCAGCCTTTTCCTTTGGGTGTTTCTTCTGTTCCACCATCGTTTGTTCTCTCTGATGCACTCTCCCTGTACACCTTAAGTGCCACATTGTTTCAAGTCTACTTTTTTACTTCCTCTTTTTAAAAACATCTTTTCTGGGGGAGGGTAGGATGAGTTGGAGAAATGGCTTAGCAGTTAAGAGCACGTTTTGATCCTACGGAGTAACTCAGTTTAATTTCCAGGACCCAAGTCAGGCAAGACTCATGACCACCTTTAACTCCAGTTCCAGAGGCTCTGATAGCGTTCTGACCTCCTCAGGCATGCATGTGCACATATGTGCACACATACACATGAATTTAAAGAAATAAATGTTGGTGGGCAGCAGTGGCGCACGCCTTTAATCCCAGCACTTGGGAGGCAGAAGCAGGCGGATCTCTGAGTCAAGGCCATCCTGGTCTACAGAGAATTCCAGCACAGCTAGGGCTACACAGAGAAACCCTGTCTTGAAAAAAAAAAAAGTAAAAATTGAGGGGGAGGAGGAAGGCACGGAACTCATAACCTTATGCACGGTAGACAAACACTTTCCCATGGAGTTACATACCCAGCCTTTAATTTTTTTTAAAAAAAATTAAATTTTTTTTCTCTCTTCTCCCCATCTCTCTCTTTCTCCCAGTCCTCTTCCCTCACCTCATGTGCACGGCTATGGATCTGTCCCTCTGTCTGTCTGCATCCTTCCTTCTGGCTTCTTTTCTTTTGGCCTGTTTCCTCCCATCTTTCTGTCTCTGCCTCTGCTGCTCTCTGCCTGCCTCTCTGCCCCGCTTAGCTCTTCACAGGATCTCAGAGATACAACCCAGGCCTGCCAGAATACTTGCTGCAACTTTCTAAGGCCCCATGCATAGGCACTGACTGCCTTGCTTTCCTTCCCTGCTGACCAGCAGGAGAAAGACAGATCCAGCTCTGCTGGGGCTATGGGAGCCTTTGTTCAGCCAGGCCTGGGCTAGTGTGCTGGAAGGTGGGGTGTGCTGAGCTGTACCTGAGCTGACCATAGCACAGTGAGTGTGTTCGCTGGCCTGTCCCCAAGAGTGGAGTAGGAACTTCTCCAGTGATCAAGGCCAGAAACATCCAGGAGAGAGTGAGCAACACTGGGACCAGCTTTGTGCCTCCCCAAGTGTCAGAGATGGGAAAACTCAGATGCTAAATCAGGGCTGGCCCAGGAGACCAAGAAGCAGTGAGCTGGGGTTTGCTTGGAAGGATTTGTTCAGCCATTGGATTAGGTGGAGGCTAGAAATGTGGCCCCAGAGGGCGTCTTTTGGAACTGTGCTATGCAGAAGGTCACTCAAGTGCTTTCTAGACAGCCAATCTTGACAGTTTCTGGGCCTAAACTACATCTGTTTGAGAGGAGGGGCTTGAGGGACCAGTGAATTCCATAGGTGGCCCTGGAGGCCTGGGTTGACTGGTCACCACTCACTTCAGGCTGGGCAGAAGTGCTAACAGCCTGCATTGTCTGTCTGTGGGAGTGGTTCCTCCCTCAAGCCTCAGAGGAAGGAAAAGGATATGAGCTCCTTGTCCTTCTGCCCTCTGTTCCCCCCTGTCCCAGCCCCAGGGCTCCAGTCACAACTGTTATCCTGATGGTGTTCCCTCCTTCTTCTCATCCAGTTCCCAGCACGGCCTCCCCTCCCGTTTCCAGCGCCTCTAATGACCCAGTGGGATCCTACTCCATCAATGGGATCCTGGGGATTCCTCGCTCCAATGGTGAGAAGAGGAAACGTGATGAAGGTAAGGGGGAGGGAAGCACTTTGGCTCCCCTTTGCGTGCTTTGTCCTTGGACTCAGGGCTCCGGTTTCTGCTGGCCTCGCAGCTGCTCTGCCGTGAGATCAGTTTTAGCAGCAAAGCCTAGGTACCCCCACTGCCCTGCTGGTTCCTGAAGCGAGGGAGGGAGGCTGCTGCTGGGGCCACCAGCTTCACCATCTGCTCATCCCCCGATGGTCTCACCTTCTGCTGGGACTCACCCCAGCTGTCCCCGTGGGACGCCAGGAGGAGTGGCATAAACTGTTTACCTTGGGAAGGTTGTAGAGGTTGGGGAGACAGCTGGTATCTGACCTGGGGATGAAAGGCCAGCCTGCTTTGGCCTCACTTGATCCCAGTTAGAAGTAGCAGGTGATGCGGACGTGGACGGCCCTGGAGTCCTTTCTCATAGCACATGGACACTGCTCCCATTGAAACCACTTGGGGAGCTGGACATAGGGCCTTACCCTACTCTTCATCATGAGAGTGGACACCATTCTGATTCCCACTTCTCCTCCTTTTCCCTGAGCCAGTACCTTGGGTAGCACAGACCCAGTTAAGAGGAATGGGGAATCAAAGAGGAGAACATGGGATGAAGGGAAATTAAGGGAGAGCCTGATAGGCATAAACATGAGACAGGGTGCTTTTCGGAAGCTTGGTACTCGTGGTGCGTTGGTGGCCAGCTAGTTTTCTTCTGGTGTGTGAGGCCTGGGCCCTCAGATGAACACAGATGCCAATATCCCAGGCCGGCTTCCTGCTCCAGCTCTCATAGTCCTAGCTAGGGAAGTGGTAACCTCTGGCATTTCGAGGAATACGGGTTTCTAAAGATACTCTCTGTGAAACAGACCCTGCAAAGATGAACATAAAGGAGGAAGTGACCGTATGTTCCATTAGCTCAAGGAAGTCATAATTTATGCCTGTTGTCCCTGCATCTGAACCGGGCATGTCTCCTTTCCCTTCGGAAAATGTTGTGTTTGGACAGTAGGTTCTGTAGTCATCCCAAGTGTAGACAAGCCCTTCCTGAGGGGGTAAAGAACAGAGACGGGGACAACGATGACATTCCTTAAGCTGCAGACCCAGGCAGAAGGAAGACAGCAGAAGAGCCCTGGCCTCCAGGAGAAGGGACACAGTGCAGGAGAGACCCAGGCCTGGCAAGACAGTGATGACCTGGTGCTGGCCTCCTTCCAGGAGCCCTAATGGCCTCGTTTCACAGGGAAACAGCTTGTCTGGCTTGATTTCTCTTTCTTCCAAAATATCCAAACCCATTTGGCTGCCACGGCCTTTGCCACTCACTAAATTTCATTGTGGTTGTTTTGGCGGCAGCCCCTGATGGGCACAGGGAGACTACGGGAGAGGCCCTAAGCCCCGGTTCTCCCTGGGGCTTCTGACATCCAGGCCTTAGCCAAGCTCCCTGGCACCCTGAGTGCCTTGGTAGAGTCTGCCTCAAACCCTGAGGGTTTCTCTTTAGCCACCTGCCTTGTTTAGAGTGTGAGGTGTCCAGGGGGACCGGAAGGTCACCGGAACCCTTCTGTGCACCCCTCATTGATCTGAGGTGGTGGCTTTGTGCGCCTTCTGCTGCCTGGGCCTTCATGGATGGCCAAGGGAGGCTGGGGCTATCCGGGCTGGGCCAATTGGCCAGGGCAGGAACAGAACGCTCTCCACCCCTCTTGTTCACATCCATTGTTCCCAGTCAGTTCAGTTCAGCAACCTCCACTCCCACCCCACTCAGACTGTCAGCTATGAGAATAGCTGGCTTAGAACAGAAGGTCCCTGAGCCAAGCAAGATATAATTCTTGTCCTTAGGAAGCTTATATTCTAGCACATATGTTAAACACTACGTCCGGAGAGTTGAATGACCATCAGATACGGTGTGGTGGAGATCTGGCCAGGCCTTTGTATGGAGGAGGTAGCGAGAGAACTCATGGCCAAGAAGGGCTGTCCTGTGAGGAGGACCCTGGGGACGGCTGAGGAGGGTGTTGAGGACAATGTCAGCCTGAATTCTGTCTGCTGCATCAAGCCTGTGAACAGCAGTCACAGGGCGACTTTAGCAAGAACGAGTTGAGTGGGGAAAATGGGAGCTTTGAGAAGGAAGCCCAAGTAGACAGAGTCACAGGAAGTGACCAAAACTGAGCTATGGAAGAGGACAGGTTTTTCTCTGAAGGCAGGAGTAGCCCTAAATCTATCTGGGCAGGAAGACTCAGGAGCAGGGTTGGTCTGGGGCCTCCGGTGCCAGTGCAGGACGAAACTGCAGCCAGCAAGTGAGGAATGGTGAGAGCCTCAGATGCTCTCTGCTAGGCTTAACCAGGTTACAAGAAACATCAGGGATCCCACCAATTTTTTTTTTGTGGGAGTTTTCTTGCCCTCTCCCTCTCTCTCTCTCTCTCTCTCTCTCTCTCTCTCTCTCTCTCTCTCTCTCTCTCTCTCTCTCTCTCTCTCAAATCACCCCCAGGCCAGATGGAGCTGTCCTCTTCCTGGAAGCTGGCCCTGGGAGGGATGCCAGCTTCCCCCCTCCCCGGACCACCATCTCAGTCTTGATCCATGGGACCCAGGTGGGACAGGAGAGAGGGAGAAAAAGGATGTGAAGGGAGACCTGGAGGACTCCTCCCCTCCCCCTCCAGAGGCCTCCACACAGCAGGGCCCAGTTTGCATTAGGGAGCGGCTCAGATGATTAAGAATGGGGAGATAATTATGTGTCAAGATGATGTAGCCCAACTCCGCAGTCGGGCCAAGGTAGCAAAGCAGCTGGCAGGCCGGTTAGTTGTCGCAGGAGGAGCCTCGGGCATAGGCTGTACACACACCCAGGTGTGTCCTTCAACTCTTGGGCCAGGACTCTGGGTAAAATGGAGACTGATCTGAGGGAGGGCAAAGTATTGGGATGGATGTTCAGGGACCAGACCCCAGAGGGACTAGAGGACCAGGTGCATCTTCCTCTGGGAGACTCCTACATGTAGCAACTATAGTGACCCTCCTTTGACCTCGGATAGAGTGACATCTCCCTAGAAGTGTCTTATCTTGAGGCAAGATGGGTGTCCCTCTGCCCTCCTGCTACTCTGGTTTCCACCTCACAGCATGGCCCATTCTTTAGTTCTAACCACGTTACGGTAGTGGGTATTAGCAAAGGCAATACCTGCAGTGTGTCCTGGCATCAGTGCAGACCTTCCTTCTCAGCAGTAGTGACTGCTATCGCACCGGTAATAACCAGAATGTGACTGGCACTGGCTCTTGGAATGTGGACAGCATCGCTGGTATCAGTGGCAACCATGGGGATAGCCATCGAGGGCCAATCAATCGGCTTTGACCCAGGGTTGAGGAGGGGGAGCTGATGGAGACTGCTTCCCAAGCTCTGACCTGTGGGAACGGGCAAAAATTCAGACTTTCTTTGGAGAAATGCGGCATTCAAGAAGCTTGAACCCTCCTCCTAGGGATCCAGGACCCTAGGCAGAAAGACCAGGGGGAGATAAAGAAAAGATGCATGAAGGACCTGGGACACAGTCTGTCTGTCAGTCCAAGGAGGAGAACTTTTTATCAATGCCCTGTTGAAAGCTTCAGTTCCAGCCTACGGTCATGAGCAGGTATATTAGAGATTGCTTCTCTGGGAATTTCAAAACATAATTCCCCGAATATTACACACCTTGTCTCTTGTGGTTGGAAAACAGGGTTGTACCAGCCCATCTATAATCAGACCGAGGAACTCCAGCCAGGCTGGGGGTGTGGCTAAGTGGTAGAGTGCTTGCCTAACAGGCATAAGGTCCTAGGTTCAATCTATAGCCTGGCAAGCAGCTGCTTTTCAGTGCATTGCTGTCCACTGGTGGCACCGGTGAAGCTCAGGGAAGTTTGATAACTTATCCAAAACTGCAAATGCAGTCATATGGTGAGAGTCTGCTGATCTTTGGGAGGGAGGTATGTTGGTGTCAGCCTTCCATGTGTGGGCTTGCAGGGGGCCGTGGTTTTGTATTGCATTAATTAGGTGTACAATGAATTGTGCAATGGGGTGGTGCCAAGCTGGTGCAGTTGTGCATTTGTAGGCAGGACAGGCTGCATGGCTGCAAAAGGCCGAGTCCTGTCACTGCGTGAATAGCTCCCTTCTGCCTTGGATGCCACTGGTGCTGGAAGAAGAGGATTGTTTCCTTGGTTAGTCTCCTCCTAGAAGTTCCCAAGAGCAGTGCTCAGGTGACGCTTGGAGCACATGAGGGGACGGAGCTATGGGAATGGTCAACACATGTTTAGGTGCCCTAGACTGCGGTAGGAAGGAAGGAGCAGGGATGAGTTGCGGTGTCTCGCAGCGCTGCTTTAACTGTGAACACTGGACTGGAGTCCTAGAGCCACTCAACTCTGTGACCTTGGAGAAGTCATTTCACAGCTCCTTTGTCAAATGGGGTAGTAACAACTATTGCTTCTTTTGTTTATTTGCCTTTTGAGACAGGGTTTCTCTGTGTAGACCTGGCTGTCCCGGAACTCACATGTGGACCAGGCTGGTCTTGAACTCAGAAATCTGCCTGTCTCTGTCTCCCAGGTGCTGTAATTAAAGTCCTGTGCCACCACCACCTGGCTCAACCCTTATTTCTTACGGAGAAGTTTCTAAAACCTTAGGTGTCTAGAGCAGTCTTCTCAACCTGTGGGTCACAACACATTTAGGGGTCAAATGATCCTTTCATGGGGTCACCTAAGACAACCAGAAAACACAGATTTTTTTTTATGATTCATAACAGTAGCAAAACTAGAGTTATGAAGTAGCAATGAAGATAATCTTCGGTTGGGGGTCACCACGACATGAGGAACTGCATTAAAGGTGGCCACATTAGTAAGGTTGGGAAGCGCCGCTCTAGGGTGTCGGGCCAGCTCCACCCTGGACGATGGGTCACTGTGTACCTAGGCAAAAAAATCGTTTAATAGGCAGGTTCAGACTTCACAAGGAGGAAATGAAGCTGTGAGAGAAAGAAATCTATCTGGGCCTACACTCCCTAACCCCAAAAGGGCTCTTCTCACTCTGAGAGAAAATAATCTTGGAAAGAAGGAGGCAGTTGGCCTCACCTGCATGGCTGAGACACCTTTGTCTACCTCTCCCTGTCCACATCATTCTGTGGTCCTTCAATGGGCCGCTCGTCATGTTTCAGCTTCCACTATAGTTTTTCTATGCATGTAACTATGAAAGTCCTTTGTTTTTTCTAATCTGGGGCTATGGCTCCCTGTCTCTCTGTGTGCATTCTATTCCTACATGCGAGTTTGTTTCCTTACCCGGGAGAACATATGCTTGTTTTCTGAACCATATATAATATTTCTGTGGTTTAAGTAAGTGTATTGTGTGTGTGTGATGTCGCTGAGATCTTTGGGAGTCACGGGGTGTGGGATGCCACATGTGGAGAAGGCATGCAGGTTTCCAGGTAATTCACCTGCTTACAGAGAGTATTACACGGCCATGCTGATATCAGTAGCCAGGAGAATCCTAAGCTGGACCCAGGCGTGTTGAGTGTTCATGGTCCTGGGCATGCACCTGCATATAGTTTAGCCCCAAGAACCCACTGCTATCAACCTACATCTGTGGGCAAAGCAGTGGGCTGCCCTACGCCTACCCCTGAGAGTTGCCAGACCCCAAGGCTAGGGAGACTGAGGCAGAGAACTAGTCCTTCCCACTCAGGCTGTGTGTGAGATGTGCAGCTCAGAACTTTTGTAGCTCTTTGAAGAGGAGCCTGGTCTCCCAGTTTGGGGATCTGGCCCCCGATCTACCTGCCTGTCCTTCGGGATCTCTCAGTGTCTGTCTGTCTCTTATTTACTCTAGTCGAGGTATACCCTGATCCTGCCCACATTAGAGGAGGTGGAGGTTTGCATCTGGTCTGGACTTTAAGAGGTATGAGGGCTAGAGGGAACATGGTGTGGGGGTCAAGGGGGATAGCTTGGGGGTGGTGGCTAGAGACATGGGTCATAAGGGCAGACAGCCAACTGGAGGCAGAGGCGCAGACTTTCCTGGGAGCCTTAGAAAGCTAACAGTCTCTCTGCCTGGATTCCTTCCACCATGGGCCACCGCAGAGGTTTGGGGCTGAGGCCTGGTGGCCCAGAGGGTCAGCCGCTCAGTGGATGGGGGCAGTTTTTCCAGCCCTTGGAAAAACAAAGAGTAGATCGGGTAGTAAAACAAAGGCAAAGGAGACCTGGAAGCACCTGACAGCCCTAATTCATCACGGCCCAAGTTTTTTCCTGTGTTCCCATTATATTTGTTTGTAAAAGTGGAAATCAATTTTGAAGGTAATTTTCTGGAAAGAATGGAAGGGAGGTGGGAGGGCCGGATAAGGCAGAGATGGTAAAAGGAAAAATTTAGGCCAGGCACAGCCCAGGGGCAGCTCTTGGCAAGGTGAAAGAAAATTGCATATTCAATCTCCATCCATGAATCTCCCTCACTGCTGCCCGCCTCCTGCTTGAAAACAATGAAGGCTTTTTCCCAGCGCTGGGCAGGGCCTCGTATCAGCCTCACTTTAACTTCAGGGTCATTAATTCCCTGATTATTGAAGGAGAGGAGAGGGTTGCAGCAGCGTCAATTCCAAAGGCACCCCCCATGTGATCAGCCACTGGCTGGGGTGGAGAGGTGAGGTACTTCAGAAGGGGGTGGGGAGAGAGGAAATGGGGGAGCCACCCGGACTTGGGGGGCAGGAAGCTGGGAGGAGGGTGGAAGAGGCAGTCATTACTGCATACCTCTGTTGTGTTGTTATTGCAAATTAAAAGTAGCATGTTCCACTCCGCAGCTATCTTTGGGGAGGGAGGGGCACTGAGGGAGGTGGGGGATCTTATCATTGCTTCTTCAGCAGACCAGCGGTGGTGTCACCGTGTGAGGTGACATTTGAATTTACAATTCCGCTGAGAAAAGCCATTAATTCACAAATTAACATTTCTCCCTCTCCCTCTCTCTTTAACACTCTCTCCCTCTCTCACATGGATGTGCAAGCAATTGAAAAGACAAAGGAAATAGCCTTAAGGAAGAGACTTTACTGCTAGTCTGTCTGTGCTGAGATTGCTCCCCCTGCTTCCAGATAGATAAACCAATTACCTGAGCAGCTCGGCTCCTGGCCGCCCGTGATCGCCTCCTTTTGTAGGCTGCCTCCATGGCTGGCTTACGCTCGTGTATCTCATTAATGGAAACCAGGCGTGCCCTGGTCACCGAGCTCTTCCCAGACGTCCTTTGGAGGAACCGTGGGAAGAGAAGCGGTGTGAGACCAGACAGGCAAGGGGGATTCTGAGGAAGAGGAGAAGCTGTCCTGGCCTTGGATCCCTGGGTACAGCTTGCTGTGGTAGCAGCTTAGGGGTGGGTATGCAGGTGAGCACAGCTGGACCTGAGAGGAATGTGGGCTGGCATTTAGAGGCAGAGACTGTAAACTGAGTCTGACTCTCTCAGTGCCTTCGGTCTTGGAGCTTGTCTCATGAGAAGGACACGAGGAAGTTTTGCTGACTACACACTGTTTCAATGGGACAGGATACAGCCTGAAGGAGCTGGGAGAAGTGTTGAGAGGGGGTCAGAAGACACCATAAGACCAGACAGGCAAGAGGGATCCTTGGGCCAACAAGATGAGATTGGACTGCTTCTTTAGCCTAAACCAAGCACCTGGGCATAATTGTGCCCACCTAATCCTTACACACACGTGTGAGTGCACGCACGTACACACACACACACACACACACGTCTGGGAAAGAGTTCAGTGAAAGCGAGTTGGTAAGAGAGGAGGATGCTATCTGACTGGTTTCTTGAGAATACCATAATCCTCTCCTACCCATAAGGAAGTCTCTCCAAGACCCCTGGCAGACACTTGAACCCATAGAGAGTTTTATATGCCTAATCCTGTCTATAAGGCTTTGTTTCTCCCAATGCATACATACAAGAGTTGAATGTATAGATTAGGCATAGTTATAAATAAACAACAACGATGATAAAGCAGAACAATTTTAGTGATAGTTTGCTACTGCGAACGTTAATCTGATAACTGAGACAGCTGTTGAGTGACCAACAGGAATACACTGAGCACAAGGCTGGTTTGCTCACAGGGGGGGACTGAGCAGACAGCTCAGTTTTATCGTCCTACCCAGAAAGATATATGACTGGAAACCTATGAACTGTTATTTCTGGAATTTTCCACTTAATGTTATTTATTTTATGTGCACTGGTGTTTAGCCATGGGTGTCAGAGCCCCTGGAACTGGAGTTACAGACAGGTGTGAGCTGCCATGTGGTTGCTGGGAAGAGCAGCCAGTGCTCCTAACCACTGAGCCATCCCTCCAGTCCCATCCACTTAATATTTTTAGATGGAAGATAACTGAAGCCAGGGAAAGCAAAACCTGCCATAAGGGAGAAGTAAGGCTCCTTGTGGATCACGCTGGGGTTTTATGGCTTTGTGTGTGCTAGATGCTACCTAGCGTGTGTCACAGGCTCTGCCTCAGTGCAACAGGTCCCTCAGCAGTCCAGGAAGCGAAGCTCGATCATGGGAGCCCCCATCTAGGCAGGTGCTGAGGTTCAACTGCATTAATAATTTATGTTCATCTCCAGCAAAGACTCCAAACCTGGCTACTGTCCAGTTCGAAAAAGAGTTAAGTTCAAAGGTCACTAAGACTCCAGAGAGAGAAACCCACTTATGAAAGTTCATTCGTAGTTCTGATTATACGTTCTTGATAACCAAGGAAATGAGACTGGCTGTACCTGTGGCAGGTTTTCTATCTCAGTTAGATCGCATATTTCAGCTGAATTATCTGGATAACATTGGCCATGAACCTGTGACTCTTCAGAAGCAAATGCAGGCTGTATTGATGTTTTACTAAAGCCTTCGAAATGGGCTCTGTCCAGAAGTAGCCCGTGTTTTTTTGTGGGGAGGTACCAAGTTTAACCATGGCTGTGCGGGATGGTCACATGCAGAGATTCATAGAGCTACACTAGAGATGAAAGTCACGTTGGCATATTTCCCCTTTCCCAGCTGGTTTGTGGTGCTGTGGCTCAAGAGTGAGTTAAAGTATTCTGAGGCTCTGACAGAAAGAGCAGAGAGGTTGGCAGCCCCAGGAGAGGAGGTACTGACTTGCTGCAGAGGGCATCGTTTGGGTCTCTCTGCTCCTGCAAAGGCAAACAGGTCCTCCATGCCTTTCCTTATTGTCACCCTCACACGAGAAGCCATCATATCAGAATCTGTCTGCCATTCCTCATCTTCCCCCTCTCAGCAAGGGCATCCCTGGAGAAATCCCCTGCTTCAGACCTGCTCTCCTCCCTCTCTCCTCCCCCAGGACGGGCTCGTCCCTTCTCATAGGGAGGTCAAGGCTCTCCTTGACCCTGCTGCTTCTGGACCCACCTTCCTGGGTGCCCCCATCTTTTGCAGACCAATGGGCAATGGGGAAAGACAGGCAGCGTGGAACCCCTGGGGATGGATATGAAGAAAATGAAGGGTTGAGAGCCCCAGGATGCCGACAGCATTCTAGACCATTGAGACTAGAGAGCGACCCTTCCTCATCCTGCCTTCCTCAGAGCCATGGCGGCCTTGGGGCTGTCTGGGATCTCATTTTCTGGCCCATAGCAGTGGAAAAGCCAGACAGGCTGGGAGAGGGTGGGGCCTGGCGCAGGGGCTGGGAGTCAGTCATGAGTCTCAGAGCCTAGTTGCGGCAGAGCCAGTAATTCAAACCATCCTGACCCTTCAGTGAACCCAAACCTGCTGACCTTGACAGCACCACACACAAGAGGCCTCACAAACCTGCTGCAGGCCGGCCTGCTTTCCCTCCCTTCCTAGCGGGCCTGTGGCCTGGCTCCCAGGTGGCTCCGCATTTGGCCATCCTTATGAAATGTCAGCATCCCCTCCCTCCCTGAGGCAGGCCAACTTCAAAGCCCCCTTTGTGCTCATCTCCACTGGAGGTAGGACGTGGGCATCCCTTGGAGCCTGTGGAGGACCCTGGACTGTGCCTTCTCCCATCAATGGACACGCAGAACTTGTACTCCTTCCATTCTGCTCAGTGCTCAACCCCAGCTTTCATATGTCCCTGCATAGTGTGTGTGTGTGTGTGTGTGTGTGTACACACCCACGCATGTATATGTCAGGGTACATACGGGGCAGAGAAGGTGATAGAGACAGAGCAGATGGGGGAGGAAAAGAGAAGCCAGAGGAAAACAGCCCCAGGAACCTGCATTAAAGTAAATGCAGGTTATGAAGTTTATGTTTTCCTCCTCGGGAGAGCTGGATTCCATCCAACAGCTGCTCCGAGCTTGCCAAGTGGTTCTAGAAGAAAAAAGTGTGGGCAGGAGAGTGAGTGAGCCAGTGACAGGGGAGAAATGCACGGACACTGTGCAAATGCTCAGGTGGGCATGCACACACGCACGCGCACAGAGAGAGAGAGAGAGCGAGCCTGAGGACGTCTGAGAAGCCAGGACAGAGGGATGCAGATGGTATGATGTTTGGAAGGAGAGGCTCCAGCAGCCCCTCTTTCCTCCTCTCTCCAGGCCCACCTGCCATCTCTGTTCCCATCTTGGGCAGTGTGATCAGCCCAGACACTTGGCAGTATGGGCACTGGGTGTCATGGCTGTATGGTAAACTGAACCAAAGACATTATGGACCAGCTGGGGCAGCCAGTTTGTGGAAGGCAGTAAGGGACAGTATTGGGCAGTGGGAATGAAGACTTGGCTGAGGAAGGGACCAGAATATGGTACCACTAGTTCTCCTTGAAACTTACCTCTTCTTCCGATGCTGGTGATGTCCACATGGGCTCCCCGTAGCTACTGAAGACAGCTGGTCTTTTAGGGAAAGATTATTTGAGACCTTTGCTTTTCTCTGAGAATTCTTTTTTTTAAATATTTATTTATTCGTTTATTATGTATACAACATTCTGCCTCCATGTATGCCGC